AATAATTGTAACAATAATAATAATGACAATAATGGTAAATCATTGACAAGTCTTTATAACTTACTAGGGTTAATGGACATCAACAGTCAGTAGCATGTTAACTTAATGTTAATTTTTTCCCCTATCAGGCAGGTGTATTTCACCAAAGAGTATTAGTTCAGTCAATAATTAGAAGTTGTAACTTCAATGATGAAATAAACTTCCTGTGAAGCTGGGAATCCATCAGATATAGAGCGATAAGTCGCTTTATTTCACGGGATGTAGAAAGATCATGGATACTGGTCAGTACAATACAAATTAATAGCTGTTTTAAAGCCTAAATCATCCTTCTCACATTGTTTAGAATACAAGAACACGCAAGGCTGAACTGCAGCAATGAATTCATTGTGTTATTTGGTAAACACTGTGAGATTTCATTAACTGCTTGAAGTTGGACAATATGAAGCAATGAATTCCAAGCTAGTGACGGAACTATGATGTACTCTCTGTAAAATTTGAAGCTCTTTAGGTTCACACAGTTCAGCAGTCCGAAAATAAGAAGAAACAGCTACAAATTTCTCTAATATCCGGTGGAATTCACTCGTTGATTCAGCTTGTAATAAGTAATTTTTATACTTGGCTAACTGAAGAACAGGGTAAACTGTGAAAGAAGTTCTCTCGAGTGGATAATTTTGATTACAACTCAGTTGCATTCGGAGGTTTACAAACAGACGGTGGAGTTAATAACACATGACGTAGGCTTTGACTGAATTCAACTTCTTTTTTTACTTCTTTACGTGATTTCCCCCTCTTATTCACTCTCATCTGCTTAACCAACTTTATGATCGTTTAAGAAATGGTATTGGCACCCTTTCAGGTTGCAGTGATGGTTACTGACTAGTAGTGGAATCCAGAAAGCACGTTTCGTCCTCTCCGGGACCCGTCAGCTGAGTGTGCCTGCTTCCTAGTTAGAGATGTTGTTCCCACTAAGACTCCGGACGATGGGATAATACAAGCAACAACATAAACTCCTATCGGTTTGTCTAGATTCATGCATCAGTTTTGTAAGGAACTTTAAGAAATATTCTGTATTCTGCTGGCATATCCGATAGATAAGACAGAAGAGCACAAGCAACACATATTAATTTTCTGTTCTTTGAAAATTGCCAAGTCCATCAATTCTACTTGTCTGTCTATTTCTCAGGCACTAATCTCTTATTCATTTTCTCTGAAAATTCTGAAGTGGTTTTGCAAGTCAGGTTATTTACTAAAGATCACTTGGAGATTTTCAGAACTTGTCTTGAGAAACAGATTGGTTTATTTTCGTCATTCAGCATTACAGTATAATAGTGACTTATAGGAATCAATTGATAATCACACGACTAGTTCTTAATAACACTGCAGCTGTCATTCGGAGCTAAAAAGAACACTCAACCACATGACAGAGATACTCTTATGGATTTACTTAATTGTGATGAACTAGAAAACTTTCTCAATCTCATGCTATGCCTTTTTCCACTTGAATGCTTGTATACATTTGTATGATCATTTTATGTAATTACAGCAAAGAGAAAATTGAAATTTTGCAGCCTAAAAGACCAACACCTATTCTTAAGTTTTCAGCCTTGGTTGAAACGTCTCGCAGTTTTGTTTCCAACGTTCTTATGTAAGTCTATGTGATATGAACCTACTGCTGTCTAGTTTCATATAAGCGCACCATTTAGCTGCGGCACAGAAGTTTAGATGGACCATTTCTTAATCAGTGAGTTCAATGTTCAAAATGCATCTACTCGCTTTGAACCTCACCAGTGTGACAGGATCCTTAACCTTCGAAAACATCTTGTTATGAACAAATTTTTGTATGAGTTACTCAGAATAGGCAACCCTACCCCCTAAAACAAATCTAACCGCTAAAGAAACTTCAAAGCACAAACAAAATATGAAAGATAAAAACAAACTTATTCCTCACTGGAATCGGAGAGGCGAAATGACGCCAGTTGGTGAAAACCTTCAGCAAGCTAATTGACCAATGTGTCTCCTCTCGATGAGAGCGAAAGTAAACATGGGGAAATGGAATGTCCACACAATGTTTGAACCCAGCAAGACAGCCCAGATTGCAAACGAGATGAAGAGGTATCACATCGAAGTGCTAGGAATTTGCGAAAGCAGACGGAATGGGAGTGGACTCTCCAAACTGTCAACTGGAGAATCAATAATCTACTCCGATATTATCACCCAGACGACAACCACGGACGAGCACACTGAGCTATGGAGTGGCTATCATGATGTCCCCAACAGCATCGAAGGCTCTCATGCAGTGGGAACCAATCTCCTCCACGATCAGGAACACGACAACAAGGTTCAACTCAAAAGGAAGGCAGGTCACAATCATACAATGCTACGCCACGCACCTACAAATAATGCAGATGAGGAATTCTACAGACAACTTCAATCAACACTGAACAAGACCTCACCCCAGTTGGCGATATCAAAATTCTAATGGGTGAGGTGACGTGAATGCCAAACTGGGAGGGGACAACACAACACGGAAGAGAACTAACCATGGGTCGAGAAGCACTCGGTGAGGTGATGAACGAGAATGGAGAATTGTTTGCAGAATTCTGTGCATTCAATGATTTGGTGATTGGAGTCAGGCAGTGTGTCCAAGCACAAGGATACCCACAAACCGACATGGATTTCACCAGACACCAGGACACACTACACTAAAACTCAGATCGACTTCATCTCAATGTGAAGAATGTGGAGAAGCTGCCTACTGGACACAACATCATATGAAGAAGAGGAACAGATGCAGGTTCAGACCACTCACTATCTAGTACAAGGAACTTTCCAAATCAGGTCGACAACCTTCAAAGAAGTTGGTGATAGACCACGGTTCAAGTTCAACATCCAGAAATTGAAGGACGAAACTACAAAAGACATCTTCACGTCAGTCAGTTATCAAGACAAAATAGGAGAAATCGAGGAACATCCCTGAAGAAACTAGTGTAGGAGAACACTGGAAGTCTTTGAAAGCCATGTGGAGAGAAACCTGCACAACCGTATTAGGAAGGAAGGAGAAAGAAGACAAGGAATGAATCTCGACGGATACCTGGAAGGTGATAGAGGAGAGGAGGATGGTGAAGCACGAGATAAACCAGTGCAAGGATGCTCAACGACATGAGAAACTGAGCACTGGACAAAGAAGTAAAGAAGAGTGCACGGAAAGACAAAAGGCACTTCTACGAAACACTGGCAAATGAAGCAGAACAGACTGCAGGTGCTGATCAAATCGCGCCGCTATGCATCATCATGGAACACAGCATAGATGGTAGTCAACTCAATCTCAACTTCATCGACTTTGTAAAGGCCTTTGACCGCGTCGACCGACAAGTAATTCGGCAACTGCTTCAACACTGCGACTTTAGTGCCACAAACCTTTACCAACCTCATTCAACAACTATATGACGACGCCACATGCCCAATGATTCACAATCGGAAGCTCATTGATGCCTTTGAAATAAAGTGAAGACAGGAGTAAGAAAAGGCTGCTGTTACTATCAAAGATGATCTTCCTGATTGTGGTCGACTCGACTGGATCATGCAGTAAACAATAAGGAACGAGAAGAGGGGGATACACTGGACGGCGGTAAAGAACCTAGAACATTTCGATTTCACCGATGACTTGTGTCTGATGTCACACAAACTTGAAGATCTACAGGCGAAAACTAACAAGTCGACAGAAGAGACGATGTGGGGCAGTGATGACGGGACTTCAAGTGAATGTAGAGAAGACAGAGGTGATGAAGATACCCAACCAACGCCACCAACAACAATAACAAGCTCCAATCATCATCAACGGGAGAAACTTAAAGGAAGTAGTCTTTTTCACCCAACCTAGGTAAGGCAGCATCATGTCAACTGCAGGCGACGGTTGCACAGATGGGGACGTCAAAGCCACGATCGGAAAAGCAAGACAGGCTTTCACAAATCTGAAATCAGTGTGGTGATCTACTCCAATCAACTCAGCATAAAGAACAAGATCCAGATTTTCAATACTAATGTCAAGTAAGTCAGTGCTTCCATGTGGTTCAGAGATTTGGTGCGTCACGAAAGGCATTTCTAACAAATTACAGATATTCATCAACAACTGCTTACTCCAGCTACTGAAGATCAGATGGCCAGAATAATAGGAATAAGCGACAAGGAACTCTGGCTGGGAACGAAACAACCAAGAAGCTATCGCTCAATAAATATGCAGAAGGAAATGGAGATGGATTGGGCATACACTGAGAAGAACATTCGGAGACATCACGCGACAGGCACTCGAGTTGAACCCAGATGGGAAACTACGAGTTGGGTGTCCTAGCTGAGGGTGACATGGAGGAGATCGTGCGAGGAGGAAATGAGAGCTTGTGGGCTGTCGTGGAGCCAGGTTCAAAATATTTCAGAGGACAGAGTGGAGTGGACACGTGCTACTGGAGCTGTATGTTCCACTAGGAATCCAAGGGATAAATAATAATGAGTTACTCAACTTTAAGAACTTGAATGTCACTGTTATTAAATTAGTAGCATGAAATTACGAGAAATCAGGTTTGTATGTTGATGTGTATTGTGCTTTTCGTTTGCTTGGGTGACAGTTCATCACTAGGTTCATAAGTGTACTCAAATAACTTACTGGATAACCCTCTTGACTTTTGCGTTAAATCCTTAATGGAACACCGAAATCCCCGAACCAGCCACAAATAGAATATATTCTGCTTTCCACTTCTAGCTCTCATTCAGCGCTGCTGAGTTCCCTAACTCTACTGACCTACGTAATAAACTTCAAAAGCACAGCGATTCTAGTCTTCACTGAAATAAGTTTTGTGAAAAGCTTCCAGGATGGTGAACGTAATGCAGAAGTAGCCCTAGATCGACCCATTCAAAGGCTTTGCTTTTAAACACCCCTTTCATCCAATGAAAATATTTTGTATTGGGCTTAATAAACTCGAAGTCTAAATACTTTTTTTAAAGTTTCCATGTTCAAAGCAGTAAGCTAGAAATGTTTCTTGTGTTAAGCAAACGTTTTACAAATTATAATGAATTAGCCGAGTAATACCCATTACTGCTAATTCACAACTTTTAAAGACCCACTGATATTCGACCGTCTGACAGTCTGCATATTTGCAGGTTATGGTAGTTAAATAAATTTTTTTTGTTAAATTACATCTAACGTTAACAAACATTTCACACTTTACTAGATCCGAACACCTGAAATGACCCAGTTAACAAAACTGATTATTGTTTTTTTTTAAAGTTAACCCAAGTACGTGATATTTTGATCGTGTCTCACCTCAAGCACACAACTGATCCTTTTACTATGGCATCCATTTAACTTCATCTATTGAGCTTAATTCTTTTTGGATAGTGCAGTATTGTCCTTCGCTAACTACTCGCAATAACCAAAGCCAAAAATCGAAATCCATTGCCACATAATTTTTGGTGTTTATGGTAAACAGCAATTTTAGAGACTAGGTATAATCTGCCTATGAAATAGACCAGATTTATGCTGACCCATTATCATCGAATTCAAATCTCATAATTAGCCAATAATTGGAAACAACCATAAGTCTATTTGCGTGGGTGAACCTAACAGACTAATATGATTGGTTGAATTTATCCATTTAGATTTCAATAAGTCTGTCTAAACTGGACATCAACAATTTGTTGGCCTAATAAGTCCAGGTTCACTTTAAGGTGTAGAGGGATTTACAAAGCCACGTTTTACCCGTGAAGTACTATTCGGTGTACACTGAACACTGTGTCTGTCAAGAAAAATAAAACAAGAACAGACTTTGAACAAATACAACCGTGCCATTTGAAACATTACTGAGAAATATTTCACATATTTTTTTGAATACCAACCTGAATTGTGCCTTAATCCTTATAAATTATTGTGAATATGCTAAAAAGGATCTGCTGTTTGGATCGATAAATTCAAAAGCATATTTTCTTGTCAAGAGTTCAAAACCCATACAAAGCAAGTGGCGTTTAAATTCTGAAAACGTCTGGTAAGAAATAAATTTTATAATCATATATGATCAATACTTGTTTCAAGTTTTTATTTTTACTTTTAATATACTGCTCATCCAGTTCACTGCTTATTACTGGCATGGTCTGTCAACTCTAAACTCCTCCATTATGACTTCCGTAATTGCGAACGACTTCTAATATTGTCCGGATATCTTGGTGAGGAAAAACCTTAATCCCAACTCGTTTTTAATGTAGAATGATAAATACCCAACTAGATAACTGTGAGGATAAGATAAGTAGGTCGATAATAACTGGGGGTTATTTTATGTGTTCTTTAGTAGTACCTCTGCAAGTAGGGAAATCACCGACTAAACGGTGCTTACACAGGTCACGTCATATATTCGAATATCAGCTGGGTCTCAGGTTGACTGGATTAACTAACAGAATCCAATAGGAAAATGCAATTAATCTATTAGATATCAGTCGTCTTGCTGTACATCAAGTCCTGAGAAAGGTTCAAATTGTTTTTGCAACTCCAGTTTATGGAATGGGTGGTAAAATTGTTCTTAAGTGTTTATCGATCTGATTTCCGAAGAAAATATGCCATACTGTCTTGGTTGGAGTCAATCTGTTTCAGATGCTATCTACCCTAGGTTTCGTTTGAGGTAATTCTAACCTCTAAATAATTCACACATTTTGGCAGGCTTGAACATGATTCAATTCTTCAATGCCAATAATAATAATAATAATAATAATAATAATAATAATAATAATAATAATAATAATTGTCATTATTAATGTTCCTTAAAAAGAGTGATTTATCAATAACAAATTTTAGTTTTCAAGCATCGATTTAGTTATAAGTGGAATCTATTTTTTTCTACCCTGGTTTGTTTCACCATGATACTTTCTCATGAGTGTTCTAACGAATTGCTGAAGAAGGAAAATATCACCGACTTACTACTTAAAATTGACTCAAACTCTGATGGTATGATATTTCATCAGTTCCAATAACTGAGCACACAAAAAAATGTATATACCATAACAGAATAAAAAACTGCGAAGGATATGCAAGAAAATACTCTCATGCACACATCTCTAATCAGTAGTCTGCTAATTCATGAAGTGGGCTGTTTTTGGTTGAAGGATGTTTTTTGCGTGTAGTTAGTTAATGTTTGGATATGTAATAAATATTGCTCTTGTCGTTTTATCTACTGCAAACTCATAATCATGTTGAAAACGCGCCACAAGACTCGTAGGTAATCACAATGACTCAAGTAGATAACCTCCAATCAGATAGATGACGTACACGAAGAGGTAACGTTAAATTTCATATTTCCATCCAGCAATTAGAAGCTTCATTGTTTGTCAATCATTCCAAAATGAGTTTCCTTTTATTCTTTTAGTGCTGAGAACAAATCCACCACTAGTCAAAGCTAAAAGAATTAATCCATGTCTACGCATGTGCATTAATCATCCAAAGGTTCACCTTTGAGTTGAGTCTAGATCACGACCAGTTAGCTGGTGTAATAAATATCCTGTGCTGTAGTTAACATCGATCTGAATTGCCCCTGTTTCTGACCTTTGCCTAACTCATACGTCCGTTTTCACCATAAGGAAAGAAATACCTTTGAGAGGAAATCAAAAAACGCTTCAGTGTTGAAAAGAAGGATAAAAAAAATTTCCATATTGAAGTTTCTAATATTCCTCTTTCTCGGTATGAAAATATGCTGTTGGAAAACGCACTAAACTATGATTACTGATGCCAAATTAATTCTCTAACTAATTCTGTACTGAGTTCATCGTTGAAAAATGTTTATCCTTCATTATGCCTGTGTGTGCGTGTCTATGTACGTTTTCTTCATTCACATTCTGCACTGCGTCTTTCTAGTTTCTCTTGCTATGTATTATTAAGAAAATGGAGACATTGAAGTACACAGTGGCTTGTCATAAACTAAAATGAATTTTATGCATAAAAGGATGCGTTTTGCTAGTGTATGACACTCATTAGTATCTGCTAAGCATTTGTGACATTGATAAAGGTTGTAAGAGTTGTCTCTGACACAAAAATCACCATATAAATAATGTACTTTACTGAGTAAAGAGGACATTAGTATTTTTGTAGAAGTTTTTCAGGAAAATATATTGCTACTTATTCATAATTCTTAGAAATTGACAGTGACAACAGGTGAATTACCGTCTAGAAGGCAGAAAGTTTTGAGTAGCTGCTATAAATTCTAATTTTTTTTGGACTGGATCTAAAATCTCCAGGTTTAGTGGTTAATACCATACTTTTGAGCTAGAATTTATTCATTGACGTTGAGTCACACTTTTTTAATTCGTGTTATATTAAAAATCTCATCTATTATCGTAAGTCGGTTCCTTGGCCGTATTCTCAATCGGTGTAGATTTATAAACCTCTGGAAAGAGAACCAGAAATAACTGTTTAAGTGTTATGTAGGGCAGTGGTTTTCACACATGTTGCTCTCTCCAAATTAAGAATAAACAATCCCTATCCAACTTTTCAACTATAAACAGATTTGCAGTGAAATCCACCTTTGAGAATTCTCAGGTTGAATTACTTGCAACTAATAGTTCAAGAGTGAAATTACTCATAAATATAAAAACTCTTAGTTTCTAAACCTGTGACAGTGGATACACCTATCCAACAGGCTAATTACTTGGAACCTACCTTATTAAAACATATTTCAAACTACCCTAATCCCGCTCTTCACAATGATATCAAGATGAATTACAAAATTTCAACTTTTCATACAGAATGGTACAAACAGCTAGACAAGTTGTTACTGTTTTAAACTAAATACACTGATTGAATTAGGAAACCACTTTCATATTCGAAACTTGTGAGCTTCTACACACAGTCAGCTTAGATGCACAGATAATTCAAATCACCTGAACATGGTGAACATTTTAAAATGACTAGAATTTTTGGATTCATTAGTACACCGCTTTGTTCATGACAACTTTCTTGCATGATGTCTAAACCTGTGGTATATATTGTTTGCATGTTAGAAAAAAAGCAGTACACCAGTGATTTCAATTAAACAACTTTCAAAAACCTGTGCTAATATAGTCATCGGATGTTACACAAACACATCTAGTTGTGAGGAATGATTTCCCTGTATTTGGACTGGTTTCTAGGCTTTTCGTCTGGTTCTATTTTTGCATATGTTTTAAAATTATCTGTGCATTCTGCTGAGATTAATTTCCATTTAGGATTGGGTAGTCATTATCCCTCTAAATTGATTCTGGGAAGTGCATAATACAATCGATAATCAATCAAATGACTAAAAATGCACAAGTCCAGTGTATACAGTCAGTTGGGCTTTTTTTCCAAAAAATGTGTTTATGATAGAATTTAAGAAAACAGCTCTTTGCATCTAGACAGGTTCATTAGTCACTCTTTTTCCTTTATTAAGTATCGTGAATAATTTAAAGCAATCGATTAAAATCGATTGGCGTATCTTTTTCGCATAAATATCCCTACCTGCATCAAATCTCTGTGTGTGCAGATGTGTGTGTGTGTATGTGTGTGCTGATAGACAGAATCATGCATACGCTTTTACGTTAATTATTCTGGGTGGGTTATTAGTTTGCATTGGGTTTTTGGGTGACTTATACACACCAACATACATTGAGTAGTGCTAAAATTGAGACTGCAAAAGTCATCTAGAGAAATGTCCCTCCTAGATTTTCCCTTATGAAAATTAAGTTTCTAGATGTAAATTTTGAGAAACTCCAGTCACATTGTGACTACTCAATTGTTTAAACACTTTGTCAGTGGCTATTGTAAATTGATTGAATTGAGCTTATAAACCAAGAGGCCTACCGTTTTGAAGCGTTATCCTATTGTTATCAAGTTTTTATTGAAGCCACCAGTCAATCCGTTATAAGATGTTATATGGTTTTTATTTTTATTTTCCAGTTTAAGAATACGACTATCTTTCAATTTGTCTACTGATTTATCAGTAATAGTTCCCCCTTTTTCTAATTTCACAATACTATTGAACATTGAGTTTTTTTAAATGGATAAAATGACACTTCTACAGCGTATTCGATTTTCCGTTTAGTCATTATTTTTATGATATTAATCATTGCTTAAGTAAATGGTTATTTCTTAGAACGTTTACTTTTTTGTAGTTTCTCCGTTTAGTTCTTTTGTAAATTAACTTTGTGTCTTTCTTTTTCATGATTTTCTATCTTCGCTTTCACTTTTTTACTGAACAATATTGAATACTTAACGAACAAAGTAATTTTTTTAGGAAAACAAAATTAATTCTCCTTAAGGAATCTGATCATTTTTTCAGGAGGAAAACTGGAAAATGAAACATACACAATTACAAATCAAGATTATCTTAAATAGTTTCATCGAATTTTGTCAAACATAATTTTATCTGTATCATCGATCTATTTCTTTCCATTTAGCGTTAAATTTTTGATTTCTGTTATTATGTAAGTGTTAAATATGTTCAATATGTCCAACCAACGCAGTGCAGTTGAAAACTTTTACTTTAGTCTGACTAAATATTCATTTCCCTCACTTAAGCTTTGTACAACATCGGTTCACTTGATTACCGTATTCGACTACCATATAACGATGAGTATGGGTTCGTATCTAATCTACCTATTTAAATCCAAATATCGTGATAATACTGTGAATCTTCCCCCATTCACGCACACACACACACACACACATTTTTGGAATGGCTTTCACGTGATCCTATAATCCATTGATTCCTATTGTATTATTACATTTACTAAGCATTTTCTCTCCTCCAAATGACTATGAGGTTCCAAAAATTATTGTCCTGTATGGTTCAAGGTGTCATCTGATCCTAAATAGAACTAATATTATCTAGTGTATTAATAACAATTGACTGCCCTTATCATGACTACTTCTACCCTAACGTACATCGAATCTCATTAGTACAGTTGCGTTATTTATGCAGTGATACATAGGTACTGAAATGCCGTCTCACTTAGTAGTTTTCTTTTACTTTGTGGACAGTGTTATGCT